TGATATATGCAGCTGTAAAAATTGCATCAACCCAATACTGACTCGGAACGGAGGCTTCAAGAAGCATAGTTCGAGTTAATTCAAGAAGATGACGATGTTTTCTTTCAGCTATCCCATTTTGTTGAGGTGTGTCAGGACAAGATTTTTGAAAATAAATTCCATTAGCTGAGAAAAATTGCTGCATATTATGATCAACAAATTCACCGCCCCCATCACTTTGAAAAATTGTAATTTTATGACTAAAAAGATTTTCAACTAAAGCTTTAAAATTTTTAAAGTGCATAAAAACTTCACTTTTGTGACACATGGGATAAATCCAAGTAAATCGGGAATAATCATCAATGAAGCAAACATAGTACTTGAATCCCAAATTAGAAGAGATTGGAGACTGCCACACATCAGAATGAATAATTTGTAAAGGAAAAGAAGAAGTATGACTAGCATCCATAAAGGGCAATCGTTGTGATTTTCCTAATCGGCAAGCAACACACTCATGAGTAAAAGGAGAATGACTACATAAAAACTGTCGACGTTTAAGAAATTGTAAAATATTATCACCACAATGACCTAATCTACGGTGCCACACAGGGCCAGAAGCTAAAACAGAAGCTAAAACTAAGGTTGGAGATGACTGCAAACGGAGAGGATAGAGTGGCCCACTACTGGAAGCTCGCAGAAGAATTGCCCCCGAGGTTTTGTCCTTAATCAAAAAAGAATTTTTGTCAAAAATTACAGTACAGTTATTATCCGCGCAAAGTCTTTGAATTGAAATTAAATTATATTTTAACTGAGGCACATGATAAACAGATTTTAAGGTAAGAGAACGACCAGAAGAGGGTAATGCAACATCACCAACATGAGAAATAGGTAAATGGGCACCATTAGCAATACTAACAGAATTATAGCCAGTGTAAACAGATTTATTTTGCAAAATACCTTCGGATGCAGTCATGTGAGCCGATGCCCCCAAATCGGGATACCATAGAGCGGGATTAGATTCTTCGGGAGAAGTCAACAGAGCAGGACTTGAATGCTGAGTGAAGCGTGAGGGACAAGTAACCGCGGAATGACCTGCAGAAAAGCAAATTTGACAGACAACGGGATGGGGAACAGAACCAAGAATACCTCCATCTGATGGCAAGCCTGCAGAACTAGAATTAGTAACACCAACATGTAATGCATTAATATTTAAACGTGACAAAGCAGAATTACAAATAAGAGTACCCGTAGTCGGCACACCCCCTGCATGTGGAGCATACCTGGCTGGAGACGAAGGAGCACCCCCTGCCGACGCATAAACCGGCTGCCCCTGCTGCGGATACCAAAACCCAGGCTGCCCATAGTATACGCCTTGCTGTCCTCATCCGCGTCCACGGCCACCGCGTCCTCTGCCACGACCGCGACCGCGGCCGCGTTGCGGCTGACCTTGTGGACAGTGCAGCGCTGCTCCTGGCTGTTGAAATCCATGCGCCTGCTGGCCAGTTGGCTGTGTAGTGTGCGAAGCAACGACGCCAAACGCCTGGTGTATAGGAGATGATTCCTGGTATCGGAGATAGAGAACCCGATGTTCTAGCTCAAGAAGATGATTGCGCAGTGACTCAAAAGGAAATTTGTGAGGAAATAGCGAGACAGCAGTGAATACAGATTCATACTCAGGTCCTAACCCCATAATAGTAGATTTGAGTAATTCACGAGGAGAAACAGGGCAATTAATTGTAGCAAGATCATCGGCTAAGGTTTTAATCTCCCGTAAATAATTATCCATAGACTGATCAGGTTTCTTTTTAATTTGAGAAAATAAGCGCTTTAATTCCATAGATCTGGCCAAACTGGCTGACATAAAACGATTCTCTAACCGTTCCCAAATTTCACAAGAATGTTTTAAATCCCGAACATCAATGAGAATATCACGAGATAGCGTGGCAAATAACCATGAATGAATTGTTTGGTCAATGCGGAGCCAAGTAGAAAATTCGGGATTGGGAATTTGACGGTTAAGCATATCTATGGAATAAGCAGGGGGTACCTGAATGGAGCCATCTACCATGCCGAGGAGGCCTTGCGAGACAAGGAAAGATTCAAACTGAGTGCGCCATGTAGTGTAATCTTCCACCGCCAGAAGTTTGGTAGTAACAATGTTTGTGACATTGGTGGCGACGTGGGAAATAGTTTGAGCCAAATCAGACAGAAGAGATCCGTTGGTGCTGCCCGGTGTTGTTCGAATTGGTGTTAGGGTGGAGGAGACCTCAGGAGAGCCGACGAACGTGGGTCCGGAGAAAGAGGCTGTCGGGAATGGTGACGGATCAAGCGGTACTCGCTGCACCGGAGATGGTGCCGGCCATGGAAACACCGGTGGGAAGTTTTGAAAGAGGGAATAAGGCATAGACGTCCGGTTGGGTGATGCAAAACTGGAGGAGAAGGTCACCCCGGACTCAACGGAGCTCATGACCGGCTGCGTTCCAATAGGGATAGGAGCGCCAGTGATTGCGGTGGTGCTGACCGCGGCTGTCGAGATGACGGCGGCAGAGAGGGGCGTGTATAGAGAGAGAAGGAGGACCGAAAAAAAGTTGAGTTTTTAATAAGCTCTTGATACCATGTGAGAATAATGAACAGGATGCTCTCTAAGGAGCCCTGACAGATATATTTATAATAAAGAGAGTTTAATGTAAAATACAATACTGAGCCTATAATAATTCTATTATACAATATTTCTTACACATTTCTCTCTCCTCTGCACAACTCTCCACCACACAATACCCACTATCTTAAATTATATGCCAAACCTGTTTGAAAGATATAATAGGAACGGAGGTAGTACCATTTACTTTGTAACCATAATTTTACATCTACAAATTGTAGGAGTTGAGCTTGTCTTTAGGCATTTATTTTTCCTCTTGTTAAGCATGCATTATTACTTCTCCACTGGATATCCTTCAAACATGCAACACGTAACTAAACTGTGCAACAACATTCAAGAATTGAAGCCGATGCAACCTTCATAGATTTTTATCATTTAACAGATTGATCGGCAACGAAGATAATAGAAAATGGAGTTCAAGGAATCGTTCTCGTCAAGCAAAGGAGACTCAACAGATTTCGAAGCGGAATTGACTCTAAGTGATAAGCTTAAAGCCTTCAAATCTTCCAGCTTCAATCCTGATTCTTATGTCTCCGGAAGATGTCGTACCATGAGCGAAAAGGTTTAGTTCCGTATATTGTTTTGCCATTTTTATGCTTTTCTCATCCACCTCTTCAATGTCGTATGTATCACTAAAAAATTACGTGATTGACACAGATTGACATAGATTGACCGATGATTTCGTGCTAAATAGCTCGTGCGAATGTGTTTTTGGCATGAATCTCGTATATCTCTACCAAATCTTTATAAATTTTGGCGAATCTCTGCAAAAAATCATTGTCAATCCCGTATTCGTTTGTAGTGTATATTACTAACTCTGTCCTACTAACATTGGGACATGAGGACGTGGTGAAGTTATTAAGAAAAGTGGTTTATGTGATTGATATTGAATTGATAAAATAAGAAGAAAATAAGAATAGAACCACACAAAGTTTCCCAAATTTGATATAATGCAATCTTAGTAGAACAGACTAAAAAGGAAAGATGGGACAAGAATCAATATTTAATTTGGGGGTATTCTTGTATTTTAACAATTAATTACACCAAAAATCACTTTTTTATCAAACTCTAACTTTTACATTTTCATTAAAATCACTTCTATTTTCAAACATTACCAACTTTTATTACAAAATACTTTTCCCGCAATAATCTCTTACAAAAATCATTTTTCAAAAGCACAATCTCTTACCAAGACTCCCTTAACGGATAGAGGAAGTATTATATTGCATGTCAACTTGTAATTATAAGAAACATGATCCATTGTTGCATCTCAATAAGCAGGAAACCAGACACTTATTACATTACCTCGTCGATTTAAAGAAGGCTTCTGCGGAGGAAATGCGAAAAAGTGTTTATGCTAATTATTCTGCTTTTATCCGGTATGATTTTGAGAACAAATTGGTTTCAAACTTATTTAATTGTTAATTTTTATTTTCTTTATTCGATTCGATTACATTTTCCTTATCCTAATCATAATGGTCTCACGAAGCCCGCCTTAAATTTAGAGTCCGTTTGGTAGCACGAAAATCGGCTGATTCTGCTGATTCTGCTGATTCTGCTGAAATTTATGAAGTTTTAGCTGGAGTGGCTGCATTGGCTGATTATGCTGCATTGGCTCGTTCAGAACTTTATAAATTTCAGCAGAATGAGAGACGGTGACGACGGTTGTGGCTCCTGTGAAGTGAAGTGTTGAAATGAAGTGAAAGCTACTATGGGCGGTGGCTGCAGTCAAGTTTTGAAATTAAACTAAATGCATCTTTCACTTATTTGAAGTTTGAAAGAAAAGATAAATTCATATTTTGAGAAACGTAAAGGTCACTAATAATATAATATTATTGCTATAGTTTAACTCTAGTTTGGAAACTTTTGGACTCGAAATTTGTAGACAAATCAATACGTTTGTAAGTGTAACGATGAATAATCCGTACTCAGTATTATGAGGTGGTTTGGTAAGACAGTTTTTTTGGCTTATCAGGTTTATCGGCCGACTTTTTCACCAAACACGTAACTTTTGCTTTCGCGTGCTGAATTGTGTAATAAGCAGAAAAAGTAAGGTTGAAGTTACTTTTCTGGCTGTATTGACTGAAGTTACTATAGATAACCATTTTAACTATTTCTACGTATGATTTTTTCTTTATTTTATTAAGAAAATATATTTTAAAAATAATTTTTTCTTAATCAGTCAATACAGACACTTCATCCAGAACTTTATAAATTTCAGCAGAATCAGCCAAATCAGCCGATTTTCGTGCTACCAAACGGACCCTATATAAAAATAAACACAAATAGATGAACTATGTGAGAGCATAATTTGTTGCCAAATTAGAATTTCAATCTTAATCCTTTATGTGACTAGTAGTATTAAAGCTTGATTTTGTATTTTCATTGATTAATATGGTTACTGTTACAATTAAGTACGTAGTAACTACATATATTAACTTGTGCATGTGTGACCTTTTTATTATTCAGCTTTACTGGTTATATGATTATAATTTATATACACAGCACGTCAAGAGAAATTTCTGATCTTGAAGGGCAACTCATTGCGTTGAGAAACCACCTTTCCAACCGGGCTTCTATAATCCAAGGATTAGCAGAAGGCACAAATCTTAACTACCTGGCAGCACCAGAAGGTTTATCAGAAGAGGAAATCTTGAGCTTTGAAGCAAGGGAGCCTACAAATATAGACAAATGGAGAGTAGAATTCATGGAGTCGCTCGAAGTGTTGTTGGCGGAGAGGCGCGTGGACGAAGCATTGGACGCATTAGACGAAGGAGAAAGCGTGGCGAAGGAGGCGAGAGATCGCCAAACGTTACCCCCAGCTGCTTTACAGTCCTTGCAGACCGCCATTTCCGAACAGAGACAAAAGTTAGCGGACCAATTGGCAGATGCCGCGTGTCAGGCCTCGATCAGCGGCTATGAGCTCCGATCTGCTGTAATGGCGCTGAAACGGCTCGGAGATGGCCCCCGCGCGCACACGCTGCTCCTCACATCTCACCAGCAAAAGCTCAAGAGCAACACTCAATCGCTTCACCCCTCCGCCGCTTCGCACGGAGTGGCGTACGCGGCGGCTCTTTCGCACCTCGTTTTCTCCACAATCGCGCAAGGAGCGAGCGATTCCTTAGCCATATTCGACGATGAACCGGCGTACTCCTCTGAGCTAGTGACGTGGTCGGTGAATCAGACCGAGGCTTACGCTCAGCTCATCAGGAGACACGTTCTGGCTTCTCCGGCCGCCTCTGGCGGCCTGAGAGCCGTCGCCGAGTGTGTCCAGATCTGTTTAGGGCATTGCTCGCTTTTGGAAGCTCGCGGGTTATCGCTTTCGCCGGTCCTGCTGAAATACTTCAGGCCGTGTGTGGAACAAGCCTTGACAGCTAATCTGAAAAGGATTGAGCAGTGTACGGCTGCGCTTGCTGCTGCGGATGATTGGCTACTGGTTCATTCGCCTATGGGATCGCGCTCTTTGGGAGCTGCGCCTCTTGGCGCGATGATTTCTCAACCTAAGCTCTCCACCAGTGCTCATAAATTCAACACCATGGTTCAGGTGATTATTGACCTAACGAAAAGATTCAAGACGTTACATTGTTCCTCTCATTCAGGTTTTCACTAAGTCATGCAATAATAGAGTTAAATTATCGTTCATAACATATACTCCCCCAAAACTAAGTTGTCATTTTGACTTTTAACGAGTCGGCGTAATTATGAATAATGAAAATCTAAATATTTTAGAAACTAAGCTATAAGTTCAATTGAAATGCAAAAATCGAATTTTAATATGATAAAAATTTAGGGATATTTTGAGTTTGCACCCCACTTTATTGTTGAAATTAGACTTTGCACCCCATTTTTGAAATCTTTAGTATTTGCACCCCAACCCCGTATGAAAAGACTAAAATGCCCCTCAGTTAACAATTTTGTTGGCCTTCAACATATTTCTGATCGAGGGGCATTCTTGTCTTTTCATACGGGGTTAAGGTGCAAATACTAAGGATTTCAAAAACGGGGTGCAAAGTCTAATTTCGACAATAAAGTGGGGTGCAAACTCAAATTATTTGCAAACTCAAATTATTGCAAATACTAAGGATTTCAAAAATTTACTATGTAAAATTCGAGAATATAATAAAAGTTAAATTCACTGCGTAAACTTGGAATGAGAACTTCAATTGGGTTGACATCCCTCAATTAAAACCAGAAAAATACAGGTGTTGAACACACTGGCCTAGAAAGGAGAAAACATTAGGTACAAGCAAGGTAGTCAAAGCCGTGAGGCCCAGCGCGCACCGAAGGCGTTACAGTGCTCAAATCGCATGAGGTGCAAGGCCCAAAAAAGTGCCGTGCACCATCTATATACAAAAAATATATACCATAGTTGTAATTTTAAAATATAAACAAGTTAGAAAAATGGCAAAATATTTTCAAAAGTAATGTTCCCAAGTGTTTAATATTTTTGGTGTTTGGTAAAAATGGCATTGTCACAATAATGAGATGGCTAGCTGCTATGTTCCCGGGCTAGAGCTTACGTCAACCGGTGGTTGGTGAGGGGAGAGACATGCCTTTCCTCTATTTTTGCAGGCAATATAATATTGGGGAAGTAAGGGGAGGCAGGGAAAGAGATAAAACTTCAAGAGTTTTATGAAGTTCCTTTCTCCTTGATAAGTATTCAATTGGTTTCCAGTGGCGGACGCAAAGCGGGGCATATGGGGGCCTCCCCCGCCCCCTCCAATTTTTTTCCTAGTAGGTATATTTACTCCACAATTTTAATATATACGGAGTATGTTTTAGCATATACGTAGTATATTTTTACACTACCGCCCCTGCTACCAGGAATTTCTTGCGTCCGCCGCTGCTGGTTTCTTTATTATTCAAAGCAAGAGTCCCTACTTATAGTAAGGGTTCAAACACTAGTAATGAGAGAGGATTACATAAAGTCAATTCTTAAAATAAAATCATCTAATGATTGAAAGCAATAAAGTTGCAGATCAACTTAATTAAAGAAAGTAATTAACTATTCTAATGAAGGAAAGTAATCAAACAATAAATCAGAAATCTACTGTATAGGTAATTAATATTCTTCCACAATGAACTGCTTAATCAGCCAGGGATCTGCCACTGGTGTTGTGATGCTTATACGTCTCTTATAGAATGCGTCACTAGAATTGAAGATTTCCAAATGCTTTGCCTGAAATATCTATATCGTAATAGTTAGAGGACTAAAATTGAAAATTATCAAGGATAGGCACGAGAAAAGCCTTTGTCATAATAGAGTGAGGGGAGTAATGGTTGTACAAAGTACAAACTCTTCATTAAGAGAAAATCACCCTTTGTATGACTAAAATCTTATGTTTCACAGAATATGACTCATCTTTTTTTCCTAATATGATGACATGACATGTATGCATACCGTGGCATTTTCTTTTTCTTACTACATTTTGTTTCGTATGTGTGATGTGTCTGGTCATAATATATTGGGAAATAATCATGTTTGACCATATTTTGGGAATCCTGATGAGTTTTAGTCCTATATAAGTATTTTCCCCTTTCTTTAATTATACTATACTATGATGTGACACAAATATTTAGGCTGCTTTCCCAGGAACTATGTGAGGACATTAGTCCACTTGAGAGCTTAAGGCTATCTCATCAAGCTTTGGAGGGGATCATACAAACATTCAACGTTTATATCAACATGTTGATAAACGCGTTGCCTGGGTCGATGGAAACTGAAAACATTGAGGGAACTGGACACAGAATTGTAAGAATTGCAGAGACTGAAGCCCAACAGACAGCATTGCTAGCCAATGCATTGTTGTTAGCGGATGAGCTCATCCCACGTGCAGCCATGAAGCTCTCGCCTTCACATCAACAGCAGACGAACAGAATGGAGGATTCGGCTAAAAGATCCTCTGAGAGGCGTATTCCAGAGCAGAGGGAACTTAAGCGAAGACTTCAGCGGTTAGTTGATCAATTACGTGACAGCTTCTGTAGACAGCACACGCTTGAACTTATTTTTGGAGAAGACGGTGTGGTTCGATTGAATGCGGATATGTATCTGAATATGGATGAAAGTGGAGAAGAGCCTGAATGGTTCCCGTCTCCAATATATCAGGTAATTATATGTTCATCCACATTGATGCATAGACATGGACTTGGTAGCCACTCGGATGGCCGATTTCCATATCACCATATGGTATAACATTTGTTAAGTTACCAAAACCAGCACTATAGAAGAAGATAAGCACACACTACCATTTCACATAAACTCTTTTTCTGGAGGTTTTCTTTATGTTTTTCCTTGCAAAGTGATATACAAACTTGTAATATACACTAAGATAACATATAGGCCAAAGTTATACTTTACTATCTAAATGCAGTTTTCGAAGTTTATGATCTTCATTTTCACACATGGATAATTGGCAGATCCTTGCCCATGCCTGAGTATAAAAATTCCTTCTAGATATTGATTGACACTGTTGCAATTATTTTCCATCATGTTCATATCTATTTAAGTGATCCATTCTTGACCATTCATTCTTATATGCATTTCCTTCAGGAACTATTTGAAAAGTTGACAAGAATTGCCAACATTGCATCAGAACTGTTCATTGGAAGGGAAAGGTTTGCAACTATGCTTTTGGTCAGGCTAACTGATACTGTCATCCTTTGGCTTTCTGAAGACCAAAACTTTTGGGAAGAAATTGAGCAAGGTCCACGGCCTTTAGGTCCATTAGGACTTCAGCAGGTTTTCCTTCTCAACTGCTCTTGTTACTGTGGCTAGTTTTCTTCGTGTCAAATAATAATAATAATTAGTATCTTAACTCATAGGAGAGAGCAGACCTAGCAGTAAGAAAATTAATATCCAGCCCAACAAGGATAATTTATTAAGATTTGAAGTGTATATTAAAGATTAGCCATAGGAGTAACTCAATATTTGATGTGTAATATCATACTGTGTATTTATCTAATGTGGGTCAAACTATTAAACATAAAAACATCTCTACACCACTCCATTTGGGTAATACAAAGCCTCTGCTTGTTTCCATTAGTTCAGGATTTGGTAGGGTAGAGAAGAGGAGGATCAATTATATTTTTTAAATTATTTATGCATTTAGGTGATTGAAAATAAAATGAAGATAATAAATAATATAGAAGAACATGATCTAACTGATCATATAATTATTTCTTATACAAACTTAACAAAGAGATAAATTAATGAAATAAAAGTTAGAAAATGAGTTAAGCTCAAGAACTGTTTAATTCATATTTTGTAAACATGATCACTTTTTTTTCTCTCTCGTGATTTTGTCTTTCTTCTTTTGGTCTCTTAATTACCACAAAGAATGTAAAAAAGGTTTTCTCTTTCTGCACATCTGTTTCTTCTTTTGGTTTCTTAATTACCACAAAGAATGTAAAAAAGGGTTTCCTTCGATTCTCTCCCAAATCAATGTCATCATTTTCCAAAGCAAAATACGTGGCTAACAATAATGGCGGGTATAATTTTGACAATGGCAGAACTTAAGATAGAAACGAAAGCACATCAAGATATAATTGTTTATATGGTTTGATTTTATTTCGGTTTATCTTCATTTTTTCCTTGATTGGGTCCTTTATCCTTTATTTCTTTTATTCCCAGAACCAATGGCCGGAAAATATCAAATGCCAAACCACCCACTTACGCTAGCATTGATATTAAGACTTAGGTTCCACACTGAAAGTTGAAATCTGAAATTTGTGTTTGTTTTTAGTCTTAGTCAGAACAGAGTTTCTTGGAATATACTTGACTATGATATCACTTTTGTCTGGACACTGGAGTCCCAGACTTCGCATTGAATGCCTTAGGCTGTGAACCGAAGATTCTTAGTTGCTCTACGCAAGGGGTGGAGGGTTGTGACTTGCCCAGTCATATACGAACAAGGTGATATGCCTGCATGGGTAGCTCATCTGGTCTTGGCTGTAAAATTTTGGTGTAAGAACGAGGCAATGATACACTTTATGGAGCACACCGGAATTGATTTCATTGCTATTGGGGTGTACCTATGCCACGATAGAGAGGAAAGTTGCTATTGGTTAGAGCCTCGGCCCTTGCCACGACCTGATCACCCTTGGCCACGACCTCTATTGAATGGTAAGCCGTCCATGTTTGACATGGTCGCTGCCTCCAAACTTGCTTCGTTGCTGACTTCGCGAGTGGTTCAAATTGAACTGTTGAAGCTGCCAATGAGGGTCCGTTTGTTCCGCTTTTGAGTTTTCTATGGGTTGTTATAGCGTGTTCCATTCTACTTCTAATTATTTTATGGGAAAAGTGGCAAATATGTTCTGCTACTGTATATGGAAAGTCAATTAAGCTCCGTACTTTAACTTTCATTAATTACATCCTTGAAGTATGTAAATTTATTAAATCCAATTTTTGGCAAGTAACCTTCCAATTTTTGGCAAGTCACCTGCGACATAAACGTGACCTAAGCGAAGCAATGAAAGCACATTAATGCAAACAAGATTAAATTGAGGCGTTATATATATCTTCAAAATATTAATTAATTTAACTGCTACTATAATTCTCAGTCATACATGCGCAGATGCACTGTGTGTTTGCTCATGTGGTAGTCTGTCAAGTACTCCTCAGTCCTGGTTATTTTCCTTCTCTTTTCTTTTGTTTTTTCTTCTTTTCCTTTCCTTTTCTTTATTTTCCTTTCTCCTTCCATATTCCCTCTTTTCTTCCTTCTCCACGGAGGTCGAGCTGCCTTGACTATTAATCTTTTACAATGCTGTAATTACAACACTAAACTTAGATACTACTAAGAAGATGTTATGTTTGTCTTATTCTTATTACTAATTGCTTATTGTTATTTTATTCGTCTTATGGATCGGTATTAAGCTTCGGTAGAGGAGCGAGAGACTGTGTGTTGTTTCTTGGTCTTCCAGGAGATAGGAGAATCACCAAGAAATATCATCCATCCTGCAAGAGAACGTCGAGTAAGTGGACAGCTAGCCCAGTCTGAATTACACCAGCCGGTAAGAGCAAGATCAGGGGTGGAGCAAAGAATTATTCCCTGACCCAGAGTGCTTTTGAGATAACGAACAATCCGCAATGCCACCGACCAATGATCCTGATGTGGAGCCTGCATAAATTGAGATAAGATATGAACAACATATGCAAATCCGGTTGGGTGAAAGAGAGATAGATCAAGCGCTCAACAAGACTTCGATAAGGTTCCGGATCAACTAAAAAATCACTCTGAGAAAGAGCCAATGCATGGTTTTGCTCCATAGGGAAAGCTGCGGGTTTTGCCCCTAGAAGACCAGTTTCAGAAATAATGTTCAGAATATATTTGCGTTGGCAAAGAAAAATGTCGTCAGTACTATGAGGCGCCTCGATCCTGAGAAAATATTTTAGCACACCGAGGTCCTTCATATGAAATCATTTATGCAAATATGATTTGAATTGAGAGATAGTTCTTGAATCATTGCTGGCTATAATCAAATCATCCACATAAATAAGAACGTACAAATGAACTGTCCCCTGACACAGTGTCAAAAGGGAGTAGTCAGAGTAAGACTCTAGAAAACCATAATTTCAAGGGCTTTCTTACCCGACGGAGGTGGCTCCATGACCCAAGTGTGATTATTTTCAAGGGCTCGAATTTCACTCTGCATAGCCTCACGCCAACCGACAACGGTCATAGCCTCTTTAAAAGATTGAGGTTCACGTCCTGCAAGTAACGCTCCAAGAAAAGTACGATGACCAATTGAAAACTTGTCACATTTTACAATATTAGCTACTCCCTCTGTCCCATAAAACTTGGCCAATGTTGACTTGCACGTAGATTAATAAAGTAAAAACTGTGTGGTTGATATTTGTGCAGAGGAGAGAGAAATAACTTTAGCCACATATTTGTTACTTTAAATGGAAATGGCAAAGTTTTTTGGGACGGTCAAAAAAGGAAAGTTGGCCAAGTTTTATGGGACGGAGGTAGTATAAGATAAGGCGTACCTGAGGAACTGACGGAGGAGGTAGACAACGGGGATGGGCTCAATGAGCGGACATGATGCGTGACAAAGTCCCATAACAGAACTAATGAAGCTTGGAGCGTAAACCCCGACCAAGGGCATCAATGGCTGACTGGGCAGCCGCGGCATGCTGAGAAGTCAAAGTCGAGGTAGTGTTGATCGGAGGAGACCCTGCCACCTCAGGTTGTACGACTACGGGATCAGGATCAAATATCATCGGAGATGAGTCCTTCAAAGCGGTGTCATGCGTAGAAGATTCCTCGGACGAAGGAAGCGAAGCCAAAAATGGAAAATCACCCTCATGAAAAATCACATCTCTGAAAACAAATATTTCACCCGTGATGCAGTCAAACACTTTCCACCCCTTTTTGCCATGAGGATACCCCACAAAAACTCCACGACGGCTTGGTGGGAAAATTTTGTTTTCACGGCATTTGATATTGTGAGCAAAGCACAAACATCCAAACACCCGTAAGTGAGAGAAATCGGGTAGAACACCATTAAGAAGCTCATAAGGCGTCTTACCGCCCAAAAGAGCAGTCGGGGTCCTATTAATGAGATGCACTGCGGTGAGGACACGTTCTCCCCACAATCGGATGGGTACATTAGCCTGAAACATTAATGATCGTGCCACATTTAAAATGTGACGGTGTTTGTGCTCTACTCGCCCATTTTGCTGGGGTGTATGGACGCAGGAGGTTTGAAATTGAATATTGTGTGCATCAAAGTAAGGTAGCTTACATTTAAATTCGGTCCCATTATCACTACGCACAATTTTGATAGACAATACATGTTGTTTCTCATTCGTAGCAATAAATGAGAGGAAAAATTGATGAACCTCCTTTTTGTCACGTAATAAAAAAACCCACACAACACGGGAAAATCATCCACAAGCATAAGGAAATAAATTGCATCACAAGTAGATGGGGTTTTATACGGTCCCCACAAATCGCAATGAATAAATTCAAGTATCCTACTTGCTTTATTATTACTACTAGGAAAGAAATCACGAACTTGCTTTGCCTGCGGACACACCTAACAAGCCTTATTCAATTTTTTCTAAGAACTAGAAACAACTGCAGGTAATAATTTAAGGACCCGATCAGAAGGATGACCTAAACAGCGATGCCACAATTCAAACTCCGATACTGCTGTGGACATTTGGACATTATGCAAAACCGGTACCCGTCTGAAACAAAAGAGCCCGTCTTGTCATTCACCGACTCCAATCAGGTTCCTCGAGTGTGGGTCCTATATAGCACAAAGATTATTAGTAAAAGTGACAAGGCAAATGGATTGGTCCGTTAACTGTGACACTGAAATAAGATGACAATGAAGTCCTGGCACATAAAGAACATTATCAAGAATAAGATCATTGGCCAAGGTGACTCGGCTAGTCAAGACCGTAGCCATCCTACGTACGTCCGGCAATCCCACTGAACGCGCAGGGATGCTGACGGGGTTCACAAGACAAGTAACATCCCTTGTAACGTGATGTGAAGCCCCAGTGTTACTGATCCACTTAAGAGAAGAATATGTACCCGACATCCGGTCACAAGATCGAGTATCGACATTAATTAAATTCAAGAGAGCATGCACCTGCACATTGCTTAAATTAGTCAAACCATTATTGCTCGTATACGAAGTAGACGAGCCTTCAGCCGCTGGCAGTAGAGTAGTCGCCACAACATGTGTCCGAACCCCTCCTCCATGGCTAGCCGGTGGTCCCTTGCTTTGGTTTCGTTCCTCCCACCAGTCCGGATACCTGTGCAATTTAAAGCATGATCTGACCTCATGACCCTTCTGCTTGCAGTGAGTACAAGTGGGCCTCGGACGATATGATTTTTCTACACGACTTTTAGTAGTGCGGTCCACCATAAGGGCAAATGCGTGGACGTCCGCCGCGGTGTTCTTCCCATGAGCGACTGCCCTGGAATTTTCCTCCTGGAGAAATGCTTGAAGTGCACGGTCAGTATCCGCCAAAGGGTTCTGTGATAGGAGATTTGATCTTACTGTCCCATATAATTCATCATCAATTTCGACCAAGAATTGGTGGAACCGTTCTTCATCTCGTTCTGCCTCAATCTTCCTAACGACGTTACACTTTTCCCTGCTTTTAACATTCCATTTTACAATCCTTGTTGTAACCTATGTTGTGAATCAAATGTTGATTAGAGTTGGTCATTTTTGGATTGGATACAACTTTTCATGTTTGAAATCAAGGGATCAATGGAGTCCTTTGTAAACCTTCCAGCAGATATGATGGAAGAATTAAGTATTGGGTGTATTCAGAGGCGTAACCAAGACGTAAAAGAGGGTGGGCCGGATTATTATCATTTAAAGTTATTATCATCTCAAGTATAACTCATAAATTAAAAAAACAACACAATTAATTGAAGTACATCACAAAATTTATTACTACTAAAAATATAGTGCACCATGTTAAAATGTTAAATGAACTTGACAGTATTCTACCTTAGCAAACTCATAGATAAGAGAACCTATATCTATTTTGCTAACAAGATCACTTTCATTGCAAATTGCCAAACTATCATTAAGAAATTTATCATTTATCGTGTTGCAAATCATTTGCAACGGAGCCAAATACTCACTACTCCCTCCGTCCCCTTTTAAATGTCCCATTTTACCATATTGGGATGTCCCTATTCAAATGTCACATACCTTATTTGGTAAAGTTTGTGTGGCTCAAAATCATTCTTACTTTATTCTTACTTTATCTATTAATATCAACCACACAAACCTACATTTCTTAAAACTCGTGCCACCCTCTTCCGGGACATTTAAAAAGGGACGGAGGGAGTATTTTTTTTTGAGAATATGATGGAAAAAAACAAAATGACTTATTAAACTGTCTGCGCTTCTTTATTATGAAATAACAGTCACTATATGCAATTTTTTACGTGATTTTCACTGTGGGTCATCCGGAAATAGTTTTTCTGTACTTTAATATAGAGGTAAGACTGCGTACATCTGACACCTCCTTACCCCACCGTAAGTGGGAGCCTCTATGACATTGGGGTAATGATGAAGAAAGATCGTGTTGCAAATCACAATTTTAACATGTTTCATTATCTAAAATGCTCTTAGTTCTGGCTGTAGAAACCAGAGTTCGTTGCCGTGCTGCGTCACCTACGTGCAGTTGGCCGAATGGTATTTGAGTATTTGACCTTTACTCTCTGCCCTGTGTTTTGATTAGGCATTTTAGGCACATGAGTCGAGCCATGGCCCTCATTAGCGTAACTCACCAAGTGAGCTGCCATGCCAAGCTGAGTAACATTTTTAATTCACTGGGCCGCTTGATGTATTTCCACTATCTTTTTCAAAGTATTAGGCCGTTTTTCCAAGCACTGGGCCAGTTAGCTTTTTAGTCCTACTCGTAAAAATAATTGCACTGGGCCAGGACCCATTCAATCCCCACCTCCTCTAGTCGGTATATTACCAATTTACCAAGATCGGGAGTGTGCAATCCTTTTTGGCCAATAATTCATACGGAGTAGTGGAGTAGGGGTGTGCACTATCCGGTTTAAACCGTAAAACCGGACCGAACCGGACCGGAAAAACCGGAACCGGATCGAACAAAAATGATATTCAGTCCGGTTTCGGTTATGAAAATTTAGGAAACCGGTTTCCAGTCCGGTTCTGGTTTAAAACCGGATTATTCCGGTTTGAACCGGATTTAACCGGTTTTGCAATATTTTTAAAAATAAATTTACTAATACTAATATAATAATAGTTATAAAATAAAAAATAATACTCCATACTACTAACAATATATAATAGCAATCAATTTCATAATGCTTATAATATATATTGTCCTAATATTATATTTATCCATTCATTTCTATTCTCATAATAATAAAACTAACTAATATATATTATTATAGTCTCAAGTTACTCCAATATTTGCTCACTAAAATTAATTAAAATGAGTTTAGAAAACAATAATAATAAAAGTAATATTTTTAATAATAAGTACTCCATCTTTATCAAATGATTAGTAGCTTTTTTAGTAGAGAAAAAAATTATTTATTTAGAAACCGGTTTTTCCGGTCCGGTTCCGGTTTTGAACCGGATAAATTGGTTCGGTTCCGGATAAAAACCGGAATACATCCGGTCCGGTTTTATAATACTACCCTCATCCCAAACATTATTATAATACTACCCTCATCCCCAAAACAACTAACAACATTTCTATAATACTACCCTCATTCCAAAAAACGACTTCTCTTTTTTCTTATTTTCATGTTCCGAAAATAAGCTTCTCATTAAGAATTGAATATATTTCCAATATCGGGAGTATGCAGTCCTTTTTACCAATAACTCATATTTTATCAAACGAAACAAATTGATGTCAACTACATGAATACTTCGTATAATATAACCTCCATCCCAAAACCATCTTATTTTCCTTATTTGCATGCTCTACAAACAAGCCTCTCACCTTTTTTTTAAACAAGGCGGCTTAAATTGATATAACGGCATTCAGAAGGGAAACAGAAGATAAAGGGACAAACTTCCAACCACCGACCCTCGAAACAGCCTTAGAACCAATCACCTTGTAAAAAGCAATATGGTTTGTTGATCCTATAATGGGTCTAAGTGAGTCTAACATGGCCAGAGTAAACCCCTCATCGCCCCAACCTAATGCAAGAGTCTGACAAAAATAAGCGTACATGACAAGCAAAACAACATGTAGTTCGAAGTAAAAGCACAAACAAAATAAAATTGAACTAGAAATAGTCGTCCAAACCCTAGTCACACAACTCCATGGCGGCGGTTCGGGAGGGTATGGATCAACATCTCTTCGTTTTCTTTCACACTTTGGCTCCTGATCGGAGCTTCTTCCTTGCCTGCGGCCTCCTCGTTCAGAATCAGATCGTCCTCATCACCCTCGAGAATCGTGTTATCACATTTGATGACCATCTCCGCCTTGCTCAAAGACCCTTCGAAGTGCTGGTATTACTCTCGACGAAAAGCAGCGCTCGTGAATTCTTCTCACATCCCGCACGTCCGAACCAAAATTAAGATCTGCACAATAAAAAAACAAAGAAACCACCGACTGGAACAATGGATCCGCAGGAGGCAGAATCCAATATGTCAGAGGAAGAACGACGAAGCTTAAAAACTGCTCATTCCAACCCTAATCGCTAGGGAGACGACCACGGGTCTCAAATTAATCTGTGATTTTAATCACTAAGTTCAACTCTATTAAGTATTAATGGGCAAGATGTTAATTGGTGAAATAAATAAATACTAAAAATCTCACTAAATCAAGTGTATTGCCCAATTGTTAAGTTTTAACTTTTAACGTTTATGGTTGATCAAGTGTTTACAATTCACTTCGTAAACGGAAAAACATAAACGGAAGTCTTTATTATTTAAGATGAAACCTTAGCTTTTTGTCTCAATTAAGTTCCATAATAATTAAAATGGGTAAAATTGACACTAACAATTCACTTATTTACACACTAGGAAAAATAATGTCTACTGAAAAAGTTTACAACAATAACTCAACTCATTGATGGCTTCACAAAATGAACCTTAAGCTACTGGTCCTAAATACCATTTTTATCCTAAATGTATGCTCATTTTTATGCTCAAAATGTTGTATCTCTTACAATTTGGAACTAATGTGATACTAATTTCTCAATAAAATTATTTTAAGTCAGACATATATGACCCTTCAATCGAAAAACAATGAAAAATTAGATATTAACAAATTTGACTACGTTTTATTTATCAATTCATTAGAATTTTAATTTTAAAATATTGTCAATTTTGTCACAATTTAAAATTTCAAAATCTGACTTTTTAATTCTTTTAATGATAATGGATTATATTATTAGTTAATGATTAAAGATATGTATTTACAAACGCGAAAATGAGAGTCTTGCAATTAATATATAACAAACTGACACATAACAAAGGCAGTACTTAAGTATTTTAAGATACTAACAGTTTCACAAAAATGAAACATAACAAAATTTTAACACCTTCAAGTGACAATTCATCTCTATGAAAAGGGTAACAAGTGAGGATTTTTATCTTCTAACTTTTCGAGTAAAAGCCACTTCTGTAAAATGTGTAAAACTTAGTAATGTTGATGTCAATTTGACATTAAAAATGGAAGAAAATCAACACAATGGAGAATAGTATCGTCCCATCATGTTATCTCGTTTTATTACAAAAATAGCAATAACTTAGCCGGTTAAAAATATTGATATATATGAGCCACATTGTTCATAGAAGTATATACTTCCTCCGTCCCTTAAAACTTTGTCAACTTTCCTTTTTCGGATGTCCCACTAACTTTGTCACTTTCTCTTTTAAGTAAAGAATTTGTGGTACCAGTTATTTCTCTCTCCTCTGCACAAACCTCAACTACACAGTTTTTACTTTATTAATCCTCATGCCGATCAAATTTGGCAAAATTTTTACAACATTTCCATTCCAAAATCATACATGTATGCAGAGTGTGCTATCATTTCAAACAGGTGTAATCATGAGTTCACTCCCGCCATTGACATAAACACAATGGATGAATGGTAGGTGATGAATTGATTGCAACCTATCTCCTTTTCTTTAATGCATCACCTTCTGAAACTTGAAATAATTTAATTATTAGGAGGCTATGTTTTTTTCTTCAGCTTTCCTTGTCAATTGTTTGTTTTGATTCGTCACTATTCCTAATTATTGAGGTCCTAAATTAAATTGGACAAAACAGGATAATACTCCAAATTCCTGATTGTTTTGATCGTTTAGACTGTACTCTTTATATCTTATTCCACATCAGGCCTCCTTAACTTTGTGCCATTTATTAAAAGAAATGGTTTTTTTTGCCATATTAAGACATTGATTGATTATTAATATTATTTTGACGTCACATTGTTGTAGTTTTATTTGGATATGGAGTTTGTGATTCTGTTCGCATCCCAAGGCCGGTACTTGTCTCGAAATCTGCACCAAGTCATTAAGAACATTATAGGCAAAGCCATTGAAGCCGTGGCAGCAAATAAAATGGATCCTTACAGGTAGATACTGTACTGCTGTCATGAGAACAAAATGACATATTTCATTCGATACTTATATAATACTCCCTCCGTTCTTATTACTACGGAGTATAATTTCCAACTTTACTTTTTCGTCCGTTCCAATTTAAACTTCCATTTTCCTTTTTTGGTAAAGAATTTGTGGTTCACAACATTTCTTACACATTTCTCTCTCCTCTGCACAACTCTCCACCACACAACACTCACTATCTTAAATTGTGTGTCAAACCTATTTGGAAGTTATATTAGGAACGGAGGTAGTACTACCTCGGGCCCTTAAAACTTCGCCAACGTTGATCGCCACAGAGAATAATAGAGTAAAAATTGTGTGTTTGAGATTTGTGCAGAGGGGGAGAAATAACAGAAAACACAAAATAATTATTTAAAAGGGAAAGTGATAAAGTTTTTTGGGACGTCCCAAAAAGGAAAGATGACAAAATTTTAAGAGATAGAGGGAGTAAAATAGATCCCCAAATGCATGTATTGATATTGATATACGTAATGTATAATACTCCGTAAAATGGAAGCATAAAACTTTCTAATTCATAACTACTTTTCGAAAAATGTCATACGTACAAACATATTTATAAAAAAGGCTAAAGGGTCAAATAGTTACATGAACTAACTTAAAGTGTTCAATTAGCCCCTTATATAGGAGGTTTTGCCCGACCGTCGCCAATTGGGGTGGTTCCCGGTAAAAAATTTTGATGAAATTTTTTGAGCATCTTCTTCATTAAGTCTAATTTACCCATATCAAATTTCAGCTAAAAGTTAAATCGGGAAGGCAGTCAAATGATTTTCTGAAATGTACTGCGATGTTTAACTGCGCAGTTATCTTCAAAAAATTATTTGACTGCCTTCTCGGTTGAATTTTTAGCTGAAATTTGGTATGAGTAAACTAGATTTAATGAAGAAGATGTTCAAAAAATTTTATCAAAAATTCCACCGGGAACTTCCCCAATTGACGACAGTCGGGCAGAACCTCCTATATAAGGTGGAGCTAATTGAACACTTTAAGTTAGTTCATGTACGTATTTGACCTTTTAGCCTATAAAAAAACTTACAAATAAGTGATGTGGTTATTGTAATTACATACTCCATATGACATAAAAGTGATGTGATGTTTTAAATAATAAAATGTTGTTGCAAGAGTTTATGTACTCGTTGCATAATTCCTTGTTTTTTATGTATAACATGATTATTATCTACTCAATGTATTTGTTTGATTTAAAACTTGAGATAACTGGCGTAACCTCAAAAAGGACTCGTTCGTAATTGTTTAAAGGAGTTGCAATTACCAAATTCAGAGGAGCGGGTATTAATTTATTATAATACATTAATACTCCATCCGTTTTGCAATAAGTTCACGTTCAAGAATATAAAAAAAAATTATGACATTATAAGTAGAACTTGTCCTAACATATATATATATATATATATATATATATATATATATATATATATATATATATATATATATATATATATATATATATATACATATATATACACTTGGGCGTATTATATTGCAGCATGCTGCCGGAGGATGAGTGGTTTGCAGATGTAGCTCAAATCGCAATTAAAATGCTAACAGGAAAAGCCAACTTTGGGAATGTGGAAAAAGAAGGCGTGGGTAGCCCCACAGCGTCAGCCAGATCAGCATCATCTCCCATTTCTCATGGAAGTCAATAATAATAAGATGTACTTCGTAAATGCTAAAGGAATCCTAAAATGTTATCCCATTTTTACGATCACCCCTTAATGTGTGGTCATAAATGGGGCAACTCATTTAAGTGAAGTTCCACTTAAATGAATTGCCTCATTTATGGTCACACATTAGAGGGTGGGGTAAAAAAGTGTA